GGTAACCTGCCTGCCTTGGCCTCCCAAAGTACTGAGATCCAACCCAGTCATATCAGCTTCTAAATTTCTCTGAGTCCAGGGATCCTGCCCCCAATATAAGCAGCCCTTTGCCTCATTTTGTCCTTCTATAAGGGGCAGATTGTTCTCCCTCAATTCCCAGGTGAGAATGGCCCAGTGGCACTGGGTCCCTTGTGGAAACCTCACAGCAGGACAAGGCGAAGGCAGAGAAGGCCAGGACTGAGCCTCCTGTCTCCTGGTGCCCAGGTTTGGGGCTATTTCAATATCATTTGGAGGTCACAAGCATCAGATGCCCCCAGGGATGAGAGCAGGAAAGAACACATTCTCCTGCCCTGAAATCTTCCACCCCTGAGTTTAAGGGCATCGAGCACTCAATCCTGTAGAAACACAAGCAAGCAAATCAGCAAATGCTTCTAGAAGTGTTTGGCTATGGTGTTGCCAACCAACATTGAAAACCCGCACCCCTGTGGTCTAGGATGTGAATGCTGGGCCCTGCCACCTCCCCCTTTTCAGAGCAGAAGTCGGAGCTCATTTTCTGCCGTGTTTCCTGAAGCACAAGCTGACTAGCACCCCAGACTCATCAGCTGCTGGGAGGGTACTGGGCTGTGGGCTGTTTTCCATGCAGGCCTGTGGGAGAACCCGAGAAGGATGTCATCAGTGATACCAGCTCTGAGAAACATGGGGACATTGAGAGGGTGGAGACACCACTTACCCCTGCTCTTTCCAGCACCACCGAAGAGGAGCAGCCAGGTGGGAATGGAGGAGGGTCCCTGAGCTCCATGTAGCTTTCTGTGTCTCCCACCATCCTTTCTCCAGTTGTCACCTGGGACATGGAGCCCCCATGACAGGGCCTTTTAACCAGTGCTGGGGATTTAGATGTGGATTGTGAGTTCTGCAGGTGTTGCTGGTTCCCACACCTCTGTGTTGCATCCCGCTATGGGAAGCGAGTATCAGCTGGGGTTTATCCCTTCCCATCCAGCCCCCATTGCCTCCATTGCTATCTATCTGAGTTTCCTTTTTGCTGGCGCGTGTCGGGATAGACTGTGAGAAGGAGAGGGAGGTCTGGGGGTTGTGGCAACTGCTGGCACTGCATTTGGAAATCCAAATAAAATGCCTTTTCCACTTTCTTGCCCTAATTCAGATCCCAAATGCTCTCGTTCTATATGTTTCAAACTCATTTTTGCATTGCTCTCATTTCCCAAGCATAGTTGTGCTTAAGGAATATTTATCTTAAAATTCTTCTGCACACAAGTAATTCTAAGACATTGTTTTTTTCCTTTTTGGGGAACTTTTGCCTCTGCACTTAATAGCCTGTCTTGTTTTCATTTATTCCCACTCCTGGGGGGCTAGCTTTGGTGTTGCTGGTGATGGTTGGGGAGGAAGAAATGCCTTCAAAACATCACTGGGATGATCAGTGAGCTGTGACCAGCAAGCTCGGAGCACTGATCTGGCGGAGTGGCCTCAGTAAGTAATAGACAGTAGTGCTGTGCCGGCTTTCTTCTGGCCCAGGAAGATCAAGTTCATTATGTTTCAGTGGCCTGGTTCTGAGTAGACCTCACAGGCCATGCAGGTTGTTTTCCCAACCTGGCCCTTACTCCATACCCTCACCCCACCCCATAATATTAGAGAGGGGCACCTAGTCAGACAAAATGATGCAACTTAATATTATTAGGACAGGGTTGGTGGACACTGGAGTGCCACCTTCCGGGGCCAGGAGAGGTAATAGGGAGGGGTCACAGTGATGTCACCCAGCAGCTAGAAGCCACAGCTGCCCTCCAAAGAACGGCACTGCACAATGCGCAGGAATGTCTCGACCTTGTCCATGTCCCTCCGGAAGCAGTAGAGCAGCCCATAGTTCTTGAGCAATGCGTCATCATTCTGTGAGTTTATGTCAAACTTCCTGTAGGTCTGCCTGAAGATCTCCCCATTCCAGGGGCTGCCATCTTCCAGCCTCTGAAAAGGTCTCCATCAGGGACCAGGAATATTCTGAGATTGGCCAAATATCTGGGCTTAGATGGTGACATTCACATCCAGAAGCCCCAAACTTGAGGATTAGTGCCCCCATCCCATCTACAGGGCGCTGCCTCTCCTCTCCAGACATGTCCTGCTCATAGGGATTTTAGGGGCTCTTGACTGTAGCCATTGCAGCTGGGTGAGCTGTCCACAGGACTCTCAATGGTTTGGGGAGTTGGGCCTTGGAATCCTGGAACTGGTCTCTTGTGGGGCATTTTATACCCTTGCCCCTTCTCTCTGCCAGTTGGCTCCCACTTGTTTCTCTGCACGTTCATGCAAGGGGGGCTACTGACATGCCTGTGCTAATGGCTATTTTAGAAGCTTCTCCTGCACGTGCTGGTATCATGCCCCCTGGCTTGTCATCTTTCCCTTCCCATCGTCACCAGCGCTGTGAGGGTTGTTCACAGAGTGTCAGCCAGAGGTACCACCCATCCTGTCCTCTCTTTAAGGGGCAGGTGGGTGCCCTCTGGCAGCATGCCATGGTGGCCTACCTGAAGGCAGGAAAGGATGTCAGGATAGCCAGTCCTTGAGACCCACACGGACCCCATCACACTCTCTATCGTATCCCTTTCCTCTTCCACGCATGGTTCCCATCCTCCCACCAGAGAGAATGTGTATGCTGGAAAAAGGGGCCAACCACAGCCTATAGATTCTCGGGGTTCTGGGCAAGATTCCGACCTCAATTCCACTTTGGCTGAGTCCTCCTGGGCCCGCCCCAGGCTGATGGATGCAGTGCTAACACTGACCACTAGAGGGAACCAACCACTTTCTTGGCCCTCTCCTCTTCCTGAGCCTTGGGGCTCCCCCAGGTCTGTGGGGAGGAAGAACACAGAGACTCAGGTTATTACCCCAGCTTGTTGGACCTGCAGCAGAAATACAAACCAAGAAACAGAAATCCTGGCAAGAGACATCAACCACAAGCACTTTCTCCCATAGCCTTGAAACCATCAGAGATTCTTAAAGTTGGAAGAGCTCTTGAAGGTTGAGTGTCCTCCCCAGCTTTGGAACTCAGAACGCATCCTGCCAAAAGATGCCCTATGCAGCCATGGTAACCTATCCTCTCTTTTCTCCTCCCTCCTCCTTCCAGATCTGTAGGGAGCTTATCCGGTTGCAAAGGGCCTCCCTGTGCATTCTCACATCTGACCTGTCACTTGTCTTGTGAAGGAGCTATTATGGTCATCCCATTTCACAGATCAAGAGACTGAGGCTCAGAGAGACTGACTTGCGTGAGCTACCTCAACCAGGGCAGCAGATCTCGACAACCTTGCTCTTTCCACATTGTGTCCTTCAAAGTCCTTTCTCCAGGCCTGGCATGGTGGTTAACACCTATAATTCCAGCACTTTGGGATGCTGAGGTGGGTGGATCATTTGAGATCAGCAGTTCAAGACCAGCACGGTCAACATGGCCAAAGCCCATCTCTATTCAAAATACTAAAATTAGCTGTGCCTGGTGGCGAATGCCTATAATCCCAGCTACTCGGGAGGGTGAGGTGAGAGAATATCTTGAATACAGGAGGCAGAGGTGGCAGTGAGCTAAGATCTCACCTCTATACACTCAGGCCTTGGTGACTTAGCAGAACAACAGCTCAAAAAAAAAAAAAAAAAAAAAAAAAAAAAACAAAAAACAAACAAAGAAAACCGGGGGGGCGATTCTTTCTCCAGAGCAGGTAGCGTGGTGCTACTACTTAGTTATTCTGGCTTTATTTTATTTTATTTTCAGATGGAGTCTCATTCTGTCACACTGGCTGGAAGGCACTGGCATGATCTTGACTCACTGCAACCTCTGCCTCCTGGGTTCAAGTGATTCTCACACATCAGCCTCCTGAGTAGCTGAGATTACTGGCACAACCACTATGTGGGCTAATTTTTTTACTTTTTAGTAGAGACGGGGTTTCACCATGTTAGCCAGGCTGGTCTCAAACTCCTGACTTCAGGTGATCCATATGCTTTGGCCTCCTAAGTACTGAGATTACAGGTGTGAGTCACTGCTCCCAATCCAGTTACTTCAGCTTCCAAATTTCTCTGAGTTCAAGAATCCTGCCCCCAACACAGGCAGCCCTTGCCTCATTTTGTTCTTCCTTAAGGGCAGATTGTTCTCCCTCATTCCCAGGTGAGAATGGCCCAGTGGCACTGGGTGCCTTTTGGAAACCTCACAGCAGGACAAGGCGAAGGCAGAGAAGGCCAGAACTGAGCCTTCTGCCTCCTGGTGCCCAGGGTTGGGGCTATTTCAGTATCATCTGAAGGTCACAAGCATCAGATGCCCACAGATATGAGAGCAAGAAAGAACACCCTCTCCTCCCCTGAAATCTTCCACCCGTGAGCTTAAGGGCATTGAGCATGCGATGCTGTAGAAACACAAGCAAGCAAATGCTTCTAGAAGTGGTTGGCAGTGGTGTTGCCAACCAACATTGAAAGCCCACACCTCTGTGGTCTAGGATGTGAATGCTGCGACCTGCCAACTCCCCCTTTTCAGAGCGGAAGACAGAGCTCATTTTCTGCCATCATTCCTGAAGCATACCCTGACCAGCACCCCGGACTCATCATCTGCTGGGAGGGCACTGGGCTGTGGGCTGTTCTTCAGGCACATCTATGGGAGGGTCCGAGAGGGATGTCATCAATGATACCAGCTCTGAGAAACATGGGGTCACTGTGAGGGTGGAGACACCACTTACCCCTGCTCCGTCTAGCGCCACCAAAAAGAAGGAGCCAGGTGGGAATGGAGGAGGGTCCCTGAGCTCCACGTAGCTTTCTGTGTCTCCCATCATCCTTCCTCCAATGTCAACTGGGACATGGAGCCCCCATGACAGATCCTTTTAGCCAGTGCTGGGGATTTAGATGTGGACTGTGAGTTCTGCAGGCGGTCCTGGTTCCCACCCCTCTCCATTGCATCTTCTTAAGGGAAGCGAGTATCAGCTGGGATTTATTCCTTCTCATCCAGTCCTCATTGATTACGTTGTTATCTATCTGGCACCTGTAGGCACTTCATTTGCAACCCCAAATAAACTGTCTCTTCCACTTCCTTTGCCCTAATTCAGATCCTAAAAGCTCTGGTTCTCTATGTTTTAAACTCATTTTTGCATTGTTCTCATTTTCCAAGGGTAGTTGGGCTTAAGGAATATTCGTCTTAAAATTCTTCTGCACACAGGGAATTCCATGACATTGTTTTCTCAAATTTTTGGGAATTTTTGCCTCTGCACTTAATAGCCTGTCTTGTTTTCATTTCTTCTCACTCCTTGGGGGCTAGGTTTGGTTTTTCTGGTGATGGTTGGAGAGGAAAAATTGCTTTCAATTTATTTCTGGGATGACCGGTGAGCTGTGACCAAAGCTGGGAGCACTGATCTGGTGGAGTGGCCTCAGTAAGGAACAGAGAGCAGTCATGTGCCAGCTTCCTTCTGGCCCAGGAAGAGTCACGTCCTTTATGTTTCAGGGACCTGGCTCCCAATAGACCCCGCAGGCCATGCAGGTTGTCTTCCCAACCTGCCCCTTTCTCCATACCCCCACCCAACCCCTTAATATTAGAGAAGGACACTTAGACAAAGTGATGCAACTTGATTTTATTAGGACGGGGCTGGTGGACACTGGAGTGCCACCTTTCGGGGCCAGGAGAGGCACTGGGAAGTGGTCTCAGGGATGCCACCCGGCAGCTAGAGGCCACAGCTGCCCTCCACAGAGCGGCAATTCACAATGCGCAGGAATGTTGAGAGCTTGTTCATGTCTCTCCGGAAGCAGAAGAGCAGCCCGTAGTTCTTGAGCAGTGTGTTATTGTGGTGCAAGTTGATGTCAACATTGCTGTAGGTCTGCCTGGAGATCTCCCCAGTCTGGGGGTTGCCAGCTTCCAGCCTCTGCAAAGTGAAGGAAGAGAAGGAGAGGCCAAGCGCTTGAACACTCTTCCCTCCCTCTCTCACTCATTCTTTCTCCTCCCTCCCCTCCAAGGCTCCAAGGTGTAGAGAAAGGGCTGGAGGATTCACGAGTGGAAATGAAGAATAAGCTGAGTTCTCCTGGGTCAGGGCCTGACTGCTAAAAAGAGAGCAGCAGTGTTTCTTTCTCCCAGATTTAGAAGCCAGTGGGGACACAGGATTGGGGACCCCTAGTGCCACCCTCACCCTGATCAGAGTTTGGATGATTTCCTCTAGGTCCTTCATGTACTCAACGATGAATCTGTCTAAGAAACTATGTATTGGGCTGTAGTCAAAGGCACCGCTGAGCAACGTTACGGGCTTGAGCCACAGCTGGATGAGCTGCTGGGAGTTGCGGAGCAGCTCTAGGTTCTGCAGGGGAAAGATTGGCAGTGAGTGTGCTGCCCAGGGGCTCTGACCACAGGCCTCCCCCATCCCTGGCTGGTGGAGAGGGTGGCCACTCACAGATTTCTGCAGAGTTTCCTCTCTGTGAGCGGGTGTTGGGATAGATTCTGAGAAGCAAATGGAGGTCCTGGTTTTATACCGGCAGAAATCCCTCTCTTCCGTCGGGGTACGAGCTTCTTCCTAGGAGAAGCACCGCCCGTCAATTTCTATGCTGGTGACCAGCTCCCATTGTTCCTTTTCTGGGACCTCACTCAGTATATGCTCATCTGCCTGCATCTTCGATTCAGAAAACAATCCTAAGCTGCTTTGTCTACTCCCATTACTTCCCAGCAAGTCAAAGTCACCCCTCCCTGCCAACCCTGACATGCATCCATTTATCAAGAGCTTACAAAACTCTGGTAGATTTCAAAGGCCATCAGGCTCAGGCGATAGGCACGGGTCATCGCAGAGTCATAAAGCGAGGATGAGGGCACTGTTGGGATGGCACCGGCCTTTCGAAGCCAGGGCAGGCAGAGCAGGGTGAAAGTCAGGAACAGGGATGCCCGGAAGACTAGGAAGAAACCAGAGAGCCTGGGAGGAAGCCGGAGAGCCAGAGGGCAGTGCTCTTGCTCAGGGGCCTCTCCTTTTTTGTCTCTCCCTCCAGGGGCCAGGAACATTCTGAGACTGGCCAAATATCTGGTCTTAGATGGCCATACCCACATTCAGAAGCCCAAACCTGAGGATTCGTGGCCCCGTCCCATCTACAGGGCATGCCTCTCCCCTCAGGACATGTAATGCTGACAGGGATTTTAGTGACCCTTACCTGCAGCCATTGTAGCTAGGTGAGCTGTCCACAGGACTCTCCGTGGTTTGGGGAGTTGGGCCTTGGGATCCTGGAGCTGGTCTCTCCTGGGCCCTTTTATACCCTGTCCGTTTCTCTCTCCCTGCTGGTCCCTGCCTGTTTCTATGTATGTTTGGGCAAGGGAGGGTCACGGACATGCCTGTGCTAGTGGATAATTTAGAAGCTTCTTCCACACATGCTGGTATCATGCCCCCTGGCTTGTCATGTTTTCCTTCCCACCGTCACCAGCGCTGTGAGGGTTGTACACAGAGTGTCAGCCAGAGGTACCACAATTCCTGGCCTCTCTTTTAGGTGCAGGTGGGCACCCTCTGGCAGCATGCAATGTGGGCCAACCTGAAGGCGGGAAAGGATGTCAGGTCCTTGAGACCCACACAGATCCCATCCCATTCTCTATCCTATCCCTTTCCGCCTGCCCGCGTGGTTCCCCTCCACCCACCAGAGAGAGTGTGTGCTGGGATTATGGGCCAACCACAGCCAATAGATTCGGGGGTTCTGAGCAAGATTCAGTCCTGAATTCCACTTTTGCTGAGTCCTCCTGTGCCGGCCTGAGGCAGCTGGATGCAGTGCTAACACCGACCACTAGAGGGAATCAATCACATACTTTGCCCTCCAGTTTCTCTGAGCCTTGGGGCTCCCGCAGTTCTGTGGGGATGAAGAACCCAGATTCGAGCAGAGATACAAACCAAGAAACAGAAATCCCGGCAACAGACATAAACCACAAGCACTTCCTCCCATCGCCCTGAATCCATCAGAGAATCTCAAAGTTGGAAGAACTCTTGAAGGTTTGAGTCTCCTCCGGAGCTTTGGGACTCAGAACACATCACACTGAAAGACGTCCTATGCAGCCATGGAAGCCCATCCTCCTTTTTCTCCTCCTCCTTTCCAGATCTGTATGGAGCTTATCCAGTTGCAAAGGGCCTGCCTGTGCATTCTCACATCTGATCTGCCACTTGTCTTGTGAAGGAGCTATTATGACATCTTATTTCACAGATCAAGAGTCTGAGGCTCAGAGAGACTGACTTGCATGAGCTACCTCAGTCAGGGCAGCAGGTCTCCACAACCTTGCTCTTCCCACATTGTGTCATTCAAAGTCCTTTCTCCAGGCCAGGCATGGTGGTTAACACCTGTAATCCCAGCATTTTGGGAGGCTGAGGTGGGTGGATCACTTGAGGTCAGGAGTTCAAGACCAGACTGGTCCACATGGCAAAACTCCATGTCTACTAAAATACAAAAATTGGCTGTGGATGGTGGCCCATGCCTGTAATCCCAGCTACTCCAAAGGGTGAAATGGGAGAATCACTTGAACCTAGGAGGCAGAGTTTGCAGTGAGCCAAGATTGTGCCACTGC